CCTCAGGCTTACAGTCCAGGCGCCTCATGGACTCGCCAGGCACTCAGAGGCCTGGCTCTCGGCTGGAGGACCACTGTTAAAGGGGCGCATTGGGCATAGCAGCAGTGTCCAGCCTTCCCTGCTCTGTTAGGTAGGTCCACCTCCTGTAAGCCTCCACCTTCCTTACACCTCAGGTGACCTCTCAATGATGGAGGGTCCCCAGACAGGATTTATGAATTAAATTTGTTTTTTGTTGTTTTGTTTTTTTTAAGAAAGAAGCCAGTCACGCTTAGTGGCGTCTGTCTTTCATCCTTGCACTTGGGAGGCAGAGGCAAGCAGATATAAGTTCAAGGCCAGCATGGGTTACACAGTAACACCCTGTCTCAAAAACAAAACAACAAAACCCCACACAAAAGCCAACTCTAATTGAATCCACCGCCAGGAGGGGGTAGGAGGACCACTATTTGCAAAATGAATTGAGCAAGCGTCTTCACTAGTTTTTGTTGTTTGGGTTTTGTGTTTTTTTTTTACTTGGAGGTTTTCCCCCACGGGGATCCTCACCCAGGAGTTGCTAGTTCAAGTGGACGCCGGACTAGTACTGCCTTGTTACAACCGGGCTGCAGGGGAAGGGACCGGGCGGGCGGGGGAGCGCAATGGCTCAGTCCAGCTCCGACATCTGCTTCTCATCTTCGCGTGCTGTACAGAGGGGGAAAAAGTCTCTAGTAAAGGGTGGGAAAGGCACAGAATTTATTTTTAATCACACGCACACACAATGAGAAAACTAAACCAAAATTTAAAAATTAGACAAGACGTCTGGGCAGGTCGCGGTGAACGCTTTGCGCGCTGCAGCCCCTGCCTCGGGCGGGCTGCGCGCGTGGGGTCCGGGCTGCTGGCGGGAGCAGCCCGCGCGGCCCCGAGGGCGGAGGCGGAGCGGGGGCGGAGGCAGGGCGGGCGGGGGCGCGGCGCCCTGCGAGCTGCCAGAGCTGAGGGAGGCGGGGAGCGCGCTTGTCAGGTTCCCTCTCGCCCCGGGGGCATCCAGCAGAACCCGGCTCGGAAATCCGCGGGGAAATGGCAAACAGGATTGACGGGTTTCTCGTGCTCCTCGCCAGACACAGCGGCTCATTTCCATAACCGTCTGCGGCGGCGGCGGGACCTGCTGGGACCTCGGCCGCCGCGCACCGGGCCACGCCGACAGGGCCGGGAGGCGCGTGGGCAGCGGCGGCCGCGCGGAGGACGGCGGCGGCTGGAGCGCGGGGCGCGCGGTAAGAGCTGCGACCCCAGGGCACGCGGGGGCCGGGAGGGTCGCGCGTGGGGCCGGGGCGCAGCTGGACACAGCGGGGCGCGGGGGCGGCGCGCGCTCTCCAGGGCCGCGCGCCCTTCCCGGGAGCAGCGGCGCGCACGAGGCGACCCGAGCGGTCGGCGGAGACCCCCGGAGCCACGAGTAGGGTGTCCCCGGGTGGCAGGAGGGTCGGCCCGGGGCTGGGAAGGTAGGGAGGAGGGCCTGCGGGTCTCAGGGGCGCGCGCTCCGCGGAACAAGGCGCCGCTGCCGAAGCTGACACCTTGTGTCCCCCGCCACCTCCGCGCCCGCCCCTGCTCCCGGGCGGCGCTGTCCTCGGCTCACCTTCCCGCTGGCTGCGAGGCCCACGCCCCCGCCTCTGCCAGCCTCCTCGGCCCCGCAACTTTCCCGAGCGCCCAGCCGCAGGAGCGGGGCACCGAGGTCCACCCTGGCCCCAGCGGCGCGCACGGCGCGGGCGGCCCCGGCTCGGCGTAGGACCCGGACAGCTGCGGGCTGGAGTGCGGCCCCGCCAGCCGCCGTGAGTCATAGCCTTGGAATCCCACCTTGGCATGTATTTCCCATAGAAGGAAACTTGGTTTTTAGGAGAGCGAATAATCATAGCCCTTATTCTTCAGGAGAGGCACTGGGCTCCAGTACCTTGGAAGACTACTTGCCTTTGTTCCCAGACACTTGGGCTGTTTACTTTTCCCTACGGCCTGCGGCTAGCCGGACGATGCCCTCTGTCCCGGAAAGGGGCTTAAGGGCATGGCACCAGTCTCCAGGGTGCGCCTGTGTAAGACCCTGGGTAAGGGACCCGTCACACACCAGCACCCCACCTTGGGCCTGGACTGAGAAAGCTGACTCTAAACCTCCCAATGGGGAACCGCTAACCGCCTTAGCCCCCCACACCTGCATTCCCAGCCCCAAAACCAGACCTAGAGCTCTTAGCCTCCTGGGACCACTGCTGGCCAGTGCACTTCCTGAGGCACAACAGGGACATGAAAAGGCACCTGTCAGGTTAGGAGTGTTGAAGCGTTTTGTTCTAACCATCCAACCCCTACCTCCACCATTGATTGGGCGAATCGGACAAACTGTTGAGACCCTATTTAGGGCCATTTGGAGCCAGTGGGTGAGGAAGTCTCTGGGCCTCCCAGGACAAGAGTCTGCAGTTCTCCGGACCACCCTGGGTCGCAGCGGTCCTCCCATGCTCTCCAGGGTTGGACTCTGCCTTCCAGCTGCCTAGATGCTCCTTAATAAAACGTTCGGTCTTTCATTCCCAGTGTCAGGAAGGCGAGGGATGATCCTTCTGCTGTCCTGTTTTATGTCCGATGATAGCCCTTGTGAGATTCCTGACACTTCCGACCACAGCAGCCGCTCCTTTTAGCACCATAATGGCTTCATCGGGGGTGGGGGCGGGGGGAGCCAAACGGTATAGAAATGCCTGCAAGAGGAGCTCTCGATGGAAACACTGACACTTGGCCTTCAGCCTTTTGAGGGTGCTGGGGCAGGGGCGGGGGTCATTCCAGAATATCGGCCCCAGTGACCAAACAGTGGCATAGCAGCCTGAGGGCTACAAGCTAGTGCATTAACACTCTCATTTGTAATCCACTAATTTCTGATCTTAAACAAGATCTCTATGCTGTGCATCATCGTGGCTGCATTTCATATTAATAACACTGAACTCGTGAACTTGGACTTCTGGATTCCATAGCGGAAGACCCATGCTAAACACGGATGCCTAGTAGCACACAGCCCCGGTGTCTCATAAACACTACGCCTGCCTCCCTAATTGGTTAGCATCTATGTGAGTTCCAAGTAGACCAGGAAGGCTCAGTTGCAGACTCTCCACCCCCGCCCCCCCAAATCGTCCCAGCTCATTCATGTTTTAATCCCAGCTTAAATAAATCACTTGCAGAAACCTAGCCTCTCCCATGTAGGATCTTGTGTGTAATGGCTTTCAATTTGAAGAAGAAAAATTTGCTGAAATTAGATGTTATAAACAAAAGAAACAGCCACGCTAAAAAAAAAAACTATTATGCCACATTTCAAGTTCAAATGCATTACTGATGGAATTTCATATGTTGTGAACAATGCTAACAAACAGAAGCCCTGAGAGCCTTAACAACACGGAAAAGCCGCTCCCTGAGTCATTAGAATATAAACAAACTCTGACTACGGTAAAGCAGCCCAGGGCCCATTAATGTCCTATTAAGCAAAGGTAATTGCTGCCAGGAGCCTGGCAGGGCTTTTCTTTCTTTGGGGGCACGGGTTTGTCAACCTGCTTTTGTTTATATGTAATAAAAGTTCCACCAGGCAAAGGCTTGGGTCCCCTCTTCTCAGCACCCACCACCCCCCCAAAATGAGTGTGAATTTCAAGCTGTGTCTTTTCTGGGTATAGGTGTCTTTTAGACTAGGTTAAGAGATCGGTGAGTGTTTCGATGATTCTGTGCTTTGGCTGAGGAGTTTGAGGGGGAAAGAGACCAAAGGGTTGAGTCTGTAAAATTGATCAAGACTGAAAGAGCAAAATAAACAACATTTCCCACCCTTTCTTGATAATTTATTTTACACACATTCACACAATGTAACACAGCACAGCACACACACCCTCTTTCCCTAAGGCATTTCTGGCGTCTCTTTGGGAAGGAAAATGAAAGGGAAGACTCCAAAGCCCAGGTCAGCTATACCCCCAATTCTACGAGTCGAGTAGAAACCCGGCCCGGTGTAACGCAGGGCTGAGGCCGAATTTGAAAACACAGGTGCCCGGTGAAGACAGACAGCTGCCAGCAGTTGCCCTGGCAGCCAGAGGACTTTACCAGCTTTTGAAGCTGAGATCTCTCCTTTCCTCCCAAGTGCACTAGTGTCATAGCATGTGGGGACTAACTCTGTCCATGAAACAGTGACAAGTCCACTCTTGCCCTAGCCCGAAGGCAAAAGAACAAACTGGGCCCTTGCTATACCAGAAAGAAAATCCATCAGCAAGTAAGCCTGACATCACTTCAGTAAGACAGGCACTTAGAACACAAGTGAGCCAGCCATGCAGGACAGCCTACAGGAGTGATTCTCAACCTTTGGGTCACGCCCCCCTTTGGTAGTCAAACAGCCTTTCACAGGGGTCACCTAAGACCATCCGAAGACAGATAAGCAGAATTACTTAACAGTAAGCAGAATTACAGTTACAAAGTAGCAATGAGATAATTTTATGGTTGGGTGGGTCACCCCCAACATGAGGAACTGTGTTAAGGGGTCGCAGAGTTAGGAAGGTTGAGAAACCCTGTCTGGAAGGAACCAGGAATCAGAGTTGCAGGGTCTGTCCTCTGGCCTATGCACCCCCAGACTCTTTTCTCCCTGAAACATACTCTTGACCCTATTTTGAGGGTCAACACTGAGCCCCCTGGAAGTGGCCCTGTAGCCTGGATTACACAGGGTCAGAGTCTGGGAAACAAACACGGAGCATCAGAGGCCAGGCTGGCTCTCCCAGCAGTCCTGAGGTCAGGGTGGGAGTCAGAGAGCAGGGCGGTGATGTGTTGACTCTTGGAAAGTTCCTGCCTTGCATCTGGCTTTGCAGTTTAAAGAGTTGCTGGCTGCCTCTGCCCGGAGCCCTGGCTCCTGTTTAATATTCTGCTGCCTGGTTGATGTTGTGCTTGGCTCCTGTGGGACTGCAACTCACGGCTGGAAACTGGAGCCAATTTTCTGTCTTCATCTCACAGTGTTTTGACTGGAGGCAGATCCAGTTCAGGCCGACGAGGGGCTGTGGAAACAACTACCGAGTGTCTGTCTGCCTCACCCCGGGAGGAGAGAGTGTGGCCGAGGAACTGGGAAGAGAGACCCTAGGGACTTCTGTTCTGCCCCTGCCCCCTCCCATTGATAGCAGATCTCATCAAAGGGGACTCCTAGGGGCTTGAATAGAAAATTGATTTCACCTTATTAATAGAAGGGAGGCCCAGGGCTTCTGGCCCTTCCTCTTAGGGGTGCATTTGTAAGGTGGGGAGGAACGTGTGTTTGGGATGCAGAGCGGCTTGTCTGAGAGGGGCTGAGTGGCTCTGAGAACAATAAGGAATGTGCTCTAAAGCCCCAAGATGCAGGCTGCCGTTCGCAGAGAGCAGCAGGAGTTTGCTAAGGTGTCCTCGGAAAGGTAGCCTGACTAGCCTGACGGTTTGGGATGAAGGGGAGGGACGATGGGAACGGAAAGCTTCCCCAAGCACAGGGAGACCATCATCCTCAGGCTGACTCCTAACCCCGGGCTGTCTGTCTGTCCGACCCACCCACCCCCTCTTTTCCAGGTCTAAGGCTGTCAGAGATGACGCTGGTTCTGTCCATGAATAGATTCTGCGAGCCCATTGTCTCAGAAGGAGCTGCTGAAATTGCCGGGTACCAAACGCTATGGGAGGCTGACAGCTACCGAGGTGCGAGCCCCCCAGGGCCAACACAGCTTCCTTTGCCAGGAGACCGGGGAGCCAGCCCTCAACTGGCAGGTATTGCCTTTGGCCTTCTCCTTAGGAGGTGGTGTCTAGTCAGGCCCTGGGACTGGGCTCCTTGAGAAATCCCACTTAACTTGCTCTACAGTCCATCTGCTGTGGGCATCCTGGAGCAGTGGGTGTTTGCTTTTTTTAAGGGACTGAACCAGATACCAAAAGTTTGGATTTGGGCTTTGTGCCCATCGGAAGTGAATGGTCCTCGGGGATGTATGCGTCACAGGGCCCACAAGCATAGCTCTGTCCCACAAAGTAAAAAGGAATCGGCACTCCTACCATAACTTCATGCTTGCTCCTCTTCATGAAGCACAGAGTTGACAAGAAAATAGAAATATGTTCTTCTGGGCTTTAAGTCTAGTTAGTCTCACATAAGTTCCTTTAAGTGTTTATGAAGCGATGGTTCTTCCCCCCCCCTTTAAAAAGAAACTGAAGTAAAAGCTTCACGAAGGTCTAGTTTCTGGAAAGGTTTAAAGTCCTCAGAGGGGGCCCTGCTGTATTCGTGGTTGACGTGTTAACATTTCCAGAGTGAAACAGAATTTAATCACTCCAAACGTTAAGCTCTAATATATAATAGTTTCGCACCTTAAAAAGAAAAGCTGTTATGCCTCCATGTCTGTGTGCATTTGTTTACTAACCCTGAAAGCCACGCTCTACCGCCTGTGTGAGGCGGAGTCTGAGTCAGTGCTCGAGTTGCTTCAGACGGGTCACACACACACACACACACACACCCCACCACCACCACCACCACCACCACCACCACCACCACCACCACCATCCGTGGATTCTGCTGCTTACCTGTACAGAGAGTTTAAGATCCCAAGCAGTTAGTAGATACTGAGAGGCGGGTGACATTTTCCTCTGATGCCGCCTGGAAATCTTTACCTTCCCAGGCTCACTCAGTCCGCTGCTAGCTGCAACTAGGAAGACAAATGTTTGTTTTTCATCACTGCGTGTACAGACAGGGACGTAGCCAAGCTATCCACTAGAGGGGAAGGAAACGAAAGCAGTTTGCTTGGAGAGCCTCTGGCAGGCCTCGTTGTCATTTGTCTATCTGATTTATTACCGCAGGATCACATTACAGGGGAATTCCAAATCCTGTAAGCACATCCAAGGTCACATACTTCAAGAGGAAGTACTCGGAAGAGGAGGATTCTCACCCAACACTCGGCAGCTGCAGCCGTGAAGTATGTTTACACAGCCGTTATTTTACTAACAGTTACAATGCCTTGTGGCACTCGCTTGAAACCATTTCCAGACATTAAAATTTGTCCCTTCCAAGCAACAGAAGAGAGCCACTTCTTTAAGAGATGACATGAATCACTGTCACTTTTGGGGGTGGGGTAGGGACTTGTAACGGATAGTATTAACTCAGTTTGTCTCAAGCTAAACTCATCTGAGAGGAAGGAACCTCAATTGGGAAAATGCCTCCGTAAGACCAGGCTGTGGGCAAGCCTGTAGGATATTTTCTTAATTAGCGATTGGTGGGGGAGGGCCCAGCCCATTGTGGGTGGGGCCATCCTTGGGCTGCTGGTCCTGGGTTCTATAAGAAAGCAGGTTGAGCAAGCCATGAGGAGCAAGCCAGTAAGCAGCACCCCTCCATGGCCTCTGCATCAGGTCCTGCCTCCAGGTTCCTGCCCTGCGTGAGTTCCTGTCCTGACTCCCTTTGTGGATTTGGAAGTGGAAACCAAATAAACCCTTTCCTTCCCGAGCTGCTTTGGTTATGTGTTTCATGACAGCAATAGTGACCCTGACTAGGACAGGGCCCTGTGTTACTTTTCACGAGTACTTGAAGAAAGAGCGAGAAAAGAGAAATCTGCCTGTAAATAACGAAAGTATATAAGGAAGAACATACCTTTTTGCCTGTAATTTAATACTCTGGGGCTGCTCTTTGGTATCATGTGTTGGAAGATGCACTTGGCTTTCCTGGCCCTAGACTCTGAGCTCTGCCCACGAGGCTACTCTGCGTGCTGGCTGGGTGGTTGTCCCGGAGTTTTCCTTGGGGGGGGTGGGGTCAGTATGTTGCCCCTTGGATACGTACGTAGAGCTGTTTGTGATGCGCTGTGACGTATATCGACTGTGTTGAAATTCAGAATTAATTCCCAAGGAAGGACCAAAGTTAGCTGTTTTTCTTTTCACACAAAGTAAGGTGTTAAGAGAAGCTTTCCTTGAGAGGAGCCTTCCCGCCCGCCTGGTTCCAGATCGGCATCAGTCCCAAATAAACACACAGGAGGCTATATGAATTATGAAGCTGTTGGCCTTGCTTGTCTCTTACTGGCTAGCTCTGACTTAAGTAATTACCCCATAATTGTTAATCTAAGTATGTCTCTTACCGGAGAATAGTTCCGGGATCCTACCCTATGGCGTTACATCTCGAACTCTCTGTGTTTCTCCTTCCCAGCATTCTCCTGGACTCCTAGTTCCCTCCTATCTTGGTTCCCTATAGGCTCAACAGTACTTTATTGACAAATGCACAGGACTTCCCCCAACAGTAAGGGAATTAGCACAGCGGAGGGGGGGGCGCAGGAGATGAGGTTCTTTGTCCTTTGTGGTCGGTACCTTTGCTCCAGAGCTCCACTACTGACCTCTTCAGTTCAGCCTCTACCAGCTCCCCGCCTGCCCCGCGCCCCCCCCCCGCCCGCCCCTCTCCAGTCCTTAGCAGTTTCTTCTGCCTGTTTGTCAGGGGGCACCCATGTGTGTGCTGTGCGTCAGCATCAGCTCTGGAGAAAGTTCAGAGCCTGCCTGGGCTGCATTGAGTTCCACACAGGCAGCCTAGGCTACACAGGCAAGGCCATGTTCACTGCTAAGTTAGCAATTAGTAACAATTGCTAATGGACCATCCTCCACCCGGTGTCAGCCTGACAGCCCAGGACTGCATCCCCCAACTCCAGTTTCTGTCAGCGTGTCTCTTTCCTGTCAGCTCCACAAGCCAGCAGGTCCTAACCTAACCTCACTAACCTAACAGTTGCCCTCTTACCAAACAAGACACGTTACAGGTGTGAACCCCCAGAAGTTGTTCCTTGGTGGTGTTGTAATTTAAGAAAAACAGGTGTGGGGGGAGAAAGATGCCATGTGACAGGGTTCAAGCAGAGGGTTTTTTTTTTAATTAGGAAAAAAGGATCATAAAAAGGGGAGGCCACACCGGCCTCCGTAGACAGGTGCAGCAGGAGAGAGGAAAGAGGGGGGAGGAGAAGGAGGAGGAGAGGGAGAGAGAAGGAGGGGACAGAGGGAAAGAAAGAAGAGAGAGAAGGATGGGAGGTGGGCAGGGCCCCTTTTAAAAGGGAACAGGGCGAATGTGCACAGGTGGTGCCCTTAGTGGCTGCAGCTGAGGGCGTGTCCGGTCAGAACCCCAAGGGCGGGCCAGTACAGATGCCCGAATACTAATAGGCAGCCCAGTCCAGCCAGACTTTGACGCATGCCCACTAGAACCTGCATCTCAAATCTCTAAAAAGCATGTGCTGGGGCTGAGGCGTGGCTCAGCAGTTAGGAGCACCGGCTGCCTTCGCAGATGACCTGAGTTCTGTCCCTAGCACCCACCTGGCAGCTCACAACTGTTTTATGATTCCAACTCCAGGGCATCCTACGCCCTCTCCTGGCCTCTCTGGGGTGGGGACCAGGTACTCACAGAGTACATAGACATGCTGGCAAACACTCAAAACACAAAAAAATAATTTTTCAGCCAGTAGCTCTACACAGCAAGTTCCACGACAGCCAAGGCCATCTCAAAAAAGTAAAATAATAATAAATTTTAAAAAATAGATAATAAGCCGGGCGCTGGTGACGCACGCCTTTAATCCCAGCACTCGGGAGGCAGAGGCAGGCGGATCTCTGTGAGTTCGAGGCCAGCCTTGTCTACAAAGTGAGTTCAGGACAGTCTCCAAAGCTACAGAGAAACCCTGTCTCGAAAAACCACAAAAAAATAAATAAATAAATAAAAATAAAAAATAGATAATAAATGCATGAGTGTGCCTCTGCACACAGACACACGGAGTGCAGGCTTGTTGCAGTTTGAACAGAGCACCCCTTGTCACCAACATCCAATCCTCCCTGTACTGCTTCGGGTCACCTGCCCCTTACCCCCCCACCTATCCTCTCCCCCCCCTCCAGCCCCCTGCACAGCAGCCTGGCTTCTGACAGCTCGGGCTGCCTCTCAGCTTCTCTTCCACTGTGACTTAAAGGCCTGCGCCTTCTGGCTGGCCCTTGTCTGTCACCCCAGGGAGTCAGGAAACTGGTGGGGCGCATCCACAGCACCTGGGACCAACCTGTGAACGGGGCGGGGACGTGCGCGGGGGTGGGCGGTGGTATTTCCACAAACGCCGGAGTTTCCTAAGCTTTCCCCTGTCCCCGACTTTCAGACCATCTCCGTTTTTGAGGAGCGAGCGCACGTCCTTTACATGTCCCTGGAGAAGCTCAGGTTCATCGACGACCCGGAGGTGTACCTGCGGAGGTCTGTCCTCATCAACAACCTGATGAAGAGGATCCACGGGGAGATCCTCATGCAGAACAGCTGGTGCCTCCCGGCCTGCTCCCTCGGCGGCGCCTCTGCCCCAGAGTGGTTCCTGGCCCAAGACTGCCCTTACCGCAAACGGCCCCGGGTGGCCAAAGAGGAGTGGGAGAAGCTCCACACTTGCTGCTTTTACCAAGAGTGTGGCGGTCACTGCCTGAATCTGCCCCTCTCCGTCAGTGCCGGTGTTGGAAGCACCTCGGGGGCAGCCGCTGCCTCCCCCTCGTCTGCCTCCTCCCCTTCCTCCTCCCTCTCCCCACCCGCCTCCTCCCCATCCCCCTCCTCCTCCCCCTCCTCCTCTTCCCCTCTGCCTAGTTGCTCCCACCACGTGGACTTCGACGTAGGCGGAGCACCTGTTTACAAGAGCGACGGCCAGATACCCGCCAATGAGATCTTCGTCACTGGCGTTAGGTCGCTTGGTGTCCAGGAAAGGGCCAAATTCAGCGATGGGAAAGTAAGTCATGACACCAGCAGAGACGGTGACGGCAGAGAACCTCTGGGAAGTGGCCTTGATTTCGAGTGCAAAGGCCAATTTTATGATTATTTTGAGACTGGATATAATGAGAAAAACCACATGAGTGAGTCTTGGAAAAAGTCTTTGAGGAAAAAGGAGCTTTCCCCAAGCAATAAACTGTGCTGCAGCAAAGGGAGCAAGATGTGACTGTCCTCCTACCGGCACCCGGCAGCACGCGCAGCAGCGCAGCATGACCAGTTTTCATTTCGGATGGGTTTTGTAGTTTTTGTACAACCGATAAAAATCACGCAGCGGACGCGCCATGTTGTCTCGCTGCCTGGAGAGGAGACTGCACAGAGCATCTGTATAGGAGGCATCCGCAAGCCAATTTACTAATGTGATTTTTGCCAAGGAAAGCCAACTTCATGTTTGAAAGAATATATCATAGTTTTCTTTTTTCTTTCTTTTTCTTTTTAAATGATGGCTAGATTAGGTTGAGGACAGCATGCCCTTGTGATATTCCCACGGTCCCTCCAAGGAGCCCGCCGCTTAGCCAAGTTCAACATGTTTGCCATTTTAATTAGGTGGTTATTTGGTTAGCAAATCAGTATGACCGGCGTGTTCAGTATGATACAGTATTTCTTTCTGGAGGCGGAAGGATAGGGGGAGATGGCTTTGTGAGTTGTGACGCGTCTGTCCTGGACAGGGTCAGACAAAACGAAACACACCGGGTGGGTCCGCGTTGTGGGAGTTGTGGAGACTGCGCCCCGAGAGCCCCTGGCTTGTCTGGGATGGGTAATGGATGACACTAGGGAGGGGGTGTGCGTGGGGCGTCTTTGATGGGGTGAGTGGGGAGGGGGGTGTGCGCGGGGGCCGTCTTTGGTGGGGTGAGTGGGGAGGGGGTGTGTGCCTGGCGGTCTTTGATGGGATGACAAGGGAAGCGGTGTACAGGGCGGTCTTGGGTGCCTTACTTTATCCTAATTTTTGCCAGTGTGAAAATTAAGGATGAATCAGAGCTACAGCAGGGATTTAACAAATAGGAAAAACAAAACACACACACACACACACACACACACACACACACACACACACAGGGTGGATCCATGGGGTTTGGAAACTTAACTTTGAGCTGTTGTGTTCAACTTTTGATTCTCCATCCTCTTCTTCCTTTGTTTTTGACGCCCAGTGGCTGTGGGTCTGACATTTTTGGGTGGAGACGCAGGAAGTCATAGGGAAGGTCCTTAGGAACAGAGAAGGCTGCCTGGGCTTCTCCATGGCAACGCACCGTTGTTGGGTCTGGGCTTTCTGAGCTTTGGGTTGTCTTGTTTTCCTGTCCAGTGACGTTCACAGACCGTGGCATGCATTTATACACGTTATACTTTGATCTGTTTTGCATCGTCCCGTACGTTTGGACCCCTAAGAGCATGTGGTTTCTATATATGACTCTCGCTGTTGATTGAGAAGCACAATGTTAATAGATGACGACGTGGTGATCAATAACGTTTTGTCTTAAAGAATGTAAAGACTGTAGGTTTTGGGACGTTATTTTGGAGAAATGGGACTCCCTCGTCATTGTTCCTGTGTGTTTGGCCAACGAACTTCCTCAAACGATACCTTGAATTTGCACACGGCCGAGAGTCAGTCCTTGGCGGCACTCTGGCCCAGTCCAGCCTGCTCCTCCTCATAAAGAGCGTTCCCATTTCCAAGGCCAAGGATGGCCTCGTTGACTTGGGCCTTTTAAAATGACTATTCACAGGGACCAAATGCCAAACGGAGGAGATAGGTAAGTTCTCCCAGTTTCTCCAAGATGAAGCTTTTTTGATCATTGCTATTAATATTAAATAGGCCTCATTCATACAGTGTATGAGTAGATCATTTGGGAAGTTGTCCGCAAGGACCAATTTTTAAAACATGTTCCTGTGTTATGGCTGAATAGTCTAGTAATGTTTTGTCCTTTATTTTCAATATTTGATGAACATTTTGGTGTTGAATATTTAGGTGATAGATGCTAGTACATGACTGTGTTGTAATAAAGTGAGGTTTTCTTGATATATATTTATTAAAATGATCAAAAATCATTAAGCCTTATTACAAATTTCATTTTAATGGCTGTTTCTGTTTTCCAATGTTTCACTCTATTTAAAACAAAACAAAAATGTCAAGAAACAGTGCATGGTGACCACGTGGGTGTCTAAATAGAAAACTTGGTTAGAATGAGCCCAGTCCTGAACTGTAGGTGATGGCCTCACAACGTGTCAGATTACGAAGATGACGAGCACGTCTATAAGCAGTTTTAATAGCCAGGGGATAGAGAGTGGCTTCCCCTTCAATCCTGCATCCACGTTTCTTAGGAGCTAATGTTTTATTTGATAAAGGGGGAGGTCGAGTTGAAGGCAAATTAATTTGTCAAACATATCAACTGTATTGTAAGTGTAGTGCTGTGCAGAGATTTAAATATGAAAGAATGGGTTTGCTCCTTTGCTTTTTTAACCCCGCCATTTCCAGACAGTGTGATGATCTGGGTGTGTCCATCCTGTGTTATTTGGGGGGGGGGTTAGCCCAGGCTGACTCAGGCCCTCACCCCTCACCTCCTCCCTCTGCCTCCCAAGGGTTGGGATCTCATGGGTACAAAGCCTTTGAGTTGGCAGTGTCTGAGGGTGCCCTCGCCTGAGCAGACCCTTCCTTCTCTGCATGAGACTCGGTTACTGTCATTCTTCCGGGTTTTCCCTTAGGACATTCCTAAAATAACGAAAGAAACTTCTTCTAAGACAAACAGCAAAAACAAAAGGCCCTAAACAGACATCCAGATTGCAGAAATTTTCTGTGGTCAGTGTGAGTGTGTGAGCGCTTCCTGTGTGCCTTGAATCTACCCAGGCAGCACTGGGGCCGGCCGAGGAGCTCCCCTTAGTGAGCGAGCCCCTTAACTGGGTTCTTTCTGAAGCCTCCACCGACCGTCCCCCGTGTAAATAGGCTGAATGTTGTGGCATGCACTTTTTTTTTTTTTTTTTGGTTTTACAACACAGGGGTTCTCTGTATTGTTTTGGAGGCTGTCGGACCAGCCCAGCCTCGAACTCACAGGGATCTGCCTGCCTCTGCCTCCGGAGTGCTGAGATTAAAGGCATGGGCCATCACCGCCCAGCTGGCAAGCACTTTTTTTTTTTTTTTTTTTTTTGGTTTTTCGAGACAGGGTTTCTCTGTATTGTTTGGAGGCTGTCTTGGAACTAGCTCTGTAGACCAGGCTGGCCTGGAACTTACAGAGATCCACCTGCCTCTGCCTCCCCAGTGCTGGGATTAGAGGCGTGCGCCACCAACGCCCAGCCTGGCAAGCACTTCTAAACCCAGAACTGGGGAGATGGAGAAAGGAGTATCCCTGAAATTTTTTTTCGATGAGTCTCCTAGCCTAACCAGTGAACTTGGGGTCACCGATGGACCCAGTCCCCTGAAGCACAGCACTTGAGGTTTTCCCTCTGGGCTGCACACAACCATCCACCCACGTGTGTGCCCCATGTGTGCACACACAACCATCCACCCGTGTGTGCATGTGTGCACACGTGAACACAGGCACAAAAGCACACACACACACAAAAAGACTCATTAAAAAAAAAACAACCAAATAACCAAAGTGGTCCTGGGCTGTTGAGTCGGACGAGCACTTGCCCAGCCTGTGCACGGTTCTGGGTCCGGTTCCCATCATTGCACAGCAGCGTGGCCCACACACCTCTGATCCCAGTTGGGACAGTAGAGACAAGAAGGTCATAAGTACAACTACATGGCAAGTATAGAAACTAGCCGGGGATACTTAAGGCCTGGTCTAATAAAAAGAAAAAACAACGCCTGCTCCCCAACGTCGCCGCCCCCCAACTTCTGCTTCCTCTTTGTAACCCAGTCATTTCTGTCCCTTCCTGACAGACGGTAGTTGTAGAAGATGAATCTACAAGGGTACTGTTTGCCCCAACTCTTTTTATTTTTATTTTTTATTTTAGGCAGGGAACTCTATGTACACAGACTGGCCTCAAACTCACAGAGATCCTCCTGCCTCTGCCTCCCAAGTGCTGGGTTTAGAGGCGTGCGCCACCACCAGCAGCTGTCCCCAATCTTAAAACCCTGTCACCCGCACTACACCTTGAAACAGTGTCAGGCATAGGATGCAGGGACCGGGAACTTGGAGGCTGGTGGGAAAGCTTAAAGCCAGTAGAAGTCACCGTTTAGCAACCTGTTGTAAGTAGCAAAGCATCTTTGATATGACCTTGCAAGTCAATAGTGACTTAGAAGGTTCTCCGTGCTACTTTGCCTCACAAGCGTCCGCGCATGCAAATGAAGACGTCTGTTTTCAGACGGCCGGCCGCAGTTCCGGGTGTCGGAAGCCACACAGGAAGCAGACTCCCCCAGAGCATGGCTACCACCGCTCCAGTCAGTCAGAACGTGTGGCACGTACAGCTGCGCCAATTGCTTCCTCTCTGAGAATCAGAGCGGAGATGGAGTGAAGGAGACCGGGGTACTGGGAGGTGCTCCCGTCAGGGCTGAGCTGCAGGACCAGGGGGCCGGCTTCTTCCACTGCAGTTAGGTGTCTGCATCCCTGATGCGACTGAGATCGGACGAAGAGAAGAGCAGCTCAAAGCCATGGCTTAAAAGAACCTGTAGTTACGGTTACCACATCTCTGCCCATCTTGCTAGGCAGGCCTTTGCAAAGTGTGATGACGGCTTCTCTGTCCCACGGAACAATCCAGCAAAGAAAGCAATGAAATCAGCGTCAGGTAGAAAAGAAGCTACGGATGTGTGACATTAGGTAGCCCATTTTAAGTGCTTGTGTGTGTGTGTGTGTGTGTGTGTGTGTGTGTGTGTGTGTGTATGTGTGTACAACGTGTGTGTGTGTAGGTCACACACACAGGGAATTTACAGGGCCACCTAAGGTGGTCTCACCCCAGTTAACTCTCCATTTTATCTTTTGAGATAGGTCCTATTGCCAACTAGAAGCTCACTGACTTGGCTAGATTGGCTAGCCCGTGAGCCCCAGGGCTCCTCCTGCCTCTGCCTCCCCATTGCTGGGATTACTGCAGGCGTGTGTTGCCATGCCCAGCTGTTACATGGGTGCCAAAGACAGAGCTCAGGTGCTTACGTCTGTGCAGCAAGCACGTTGCTGACTGAACCGTCACCCTAGACGTTCTTAATTTGAGCTGCTGTCTCACTGAACCTGAGCTTACCATTCCAGCTAGACTGGCTACCAGCAAGCCCTGGTGTCTCCTGTCTACTCTGTCTCCAAGCACTGGCATTGCAGGTGTTTTTGACACGGGGAGCTGGGTATCCCTAACTAGACCCCCATGCGTGTACGGTGAGCCTTTGCCCCTCTCCCCAGCCCCACCGCTGCCGTGATCCGATTCTGTGGTTTACACGAATGCGTGTGGGATCTTGTAATTTACTACCAGGCACCAGCTGTTGCTTTCTTGGGAGTTAACGGTTACGCATCCTGTGAGCAAGGTGTGTTCTCTTCGCGGTACTAAAATCTCCGTTTGAAACGCTGTGCTCCATGGCCTGGGGTGGAACTGTCTAGAAACTGCCTTGTATATTAGCGGGAGAGCTCCGCGTAGGAAAAGCACTTGCAGAGATGAAGTTATGAGCCCTTGAGTCTCACATCCTGCCATGAAGTGCATCCGCAAGTGAGTTTAATAAAACATGCTGTCTAAAATAGCCTGTAATTTCCTGCCTCTGCATTTCCCTTCAGTATCTGTGACGGGCTGAAGAACGATGGCTACACGAAGGGAACTCACAGCCTAGTCTGCTCTGCTGGTCCGCAAACCTTCCCGAGAGCCAGCCAGAGCGGCTGCAGCTTTTGTAAACAGCTCTATGCTGGGCTATGGGCAGCC